GTGTCGTCCGATAATCGTAAGGTGTGTGGCCACCTTAATTGTGGTTGAATAGATTGTTCAGCAATGTCCTTGGCCAACCCAGCTGTATTAGTTTTAGCTATTATGTTCAAGCATGGTGCAGCCTCCTAGCTCCATTTTCCTATGCAGACTGTGTGGCACCACAAAGGTGTGAAAGAGGGCTTAGCGTTTCTTAAAAAGAAAAAAAAAAGTTACTCACCTAAACCTCGGAGCCAGCTGAAAAGTTAGACTGGTCCCAACTGCCTCACTCCTCTTCTGCTCCAGTGACAGGGTATGTCTCTGTGTTCTCACATTCAATACAGTGTATTGGATGTGATGACTCACAGACCAGAGGCGCTGCAGGGGCCAGTCTAACAACTGGCTACGAGGTTCAGCTGCCACTGCAAGGGTTAAAAATATTTATGCCTAGAGTTCTGGTAAGACACATCATCTAAGAAACTGTACAATCTGCTTCAATTGTACAATCTCTGTACAACCCCTCTTTAGATGTACCCAAACTATACAATACGAGGGCCTACCTAAACAATTCAACAAATTTGTAACAAGTCAGAGTCTAGCCATTGACACTAGTGATGGGCTCAGGCATGTTCGCAGCTCCACGTGCCAAGCCCGCCAGGAAGCTGACAGAGCCAATCACAGGTACTGAGACATTATCCCAGTCCGCAGCTGCAGAGAACGGAATATGCCTCAGTGCCTCTGATTGGCGCTGCTGCGCTGTCAGCTTCCTGGCGGGCTCAGCACGTGGAGCTGCGAACACGCCCGAGCCCATCACTAATTGACACAGCTGGGCTGAACAAGAGAAATCCCTCATCCACACTAAACAGCATGGATAGACCTCCTTGATGGTCGTATTCAAACAGACGGCCTCCTTGGCTTTCTGAATACCTGATCAGTGACTGCATCTGAAGGAATGCAGTCAGTGATCGTCTGACAATATTCCATCTTGCTCATTCGAATTTTCAGATTGAAGTTTGCCGAGCCTGGTGATAGCGACACGGTCGCCCACGGATGGAACTTTGAATGATTCCTGCTGAATTTAATTCCAATCCATGTATAGTTAGCTTTAGTTGGTAGACAAAAACAGGGGACAATCAGATTTCACGGTGTATGGTCAGCTTTACTCATAAATGGAAAGACTCTAGTCTAGCCACTCCCACACTCCAAAGACATTATTATTATTATACAGGATTTATATAGAGCCAAGAGTTTGCACAGCGCTTCAAAATATAAGGGAGACATTACAGTTACAATACAAGTCAAGAGAAGATGGTAAGGAAGACCCTTCCCGTTAGAGCATACAATCTAAAAGAAATGCTGGAAGGGTAATTGGCTCCTGTCTAAATAGGCCCTGTATGTATGTATGTATGTATGTGAGATAGGGACCTTAGATTGTAAGCTCTCATAATTAAATTAAATAGCATGCAAATTAAATAGCATGCTTAATTTTTTAAAAAAATACACAAATGCACTGTTACAAATATAAAAAGTTTACTTCAGAATAAATCTGCATGTACAATTTTTTTGCAACCGCCCTGCACTGGAACACACGGCATTGCTGTACCATGCATTCCAGTGCGAGCGATCACACTGTGGGTGGGAGGCGCATTTGGGGTGCCAAATGGATGGCACTGCAACACACCTCCCGCAGCAGAATTTGTCAAGCTGAAACCGAAAATGACTTTTTCCCCACTTTTTATAATTTAAAAAAAATAATTTTAAGCACATACCGCTTGAATAGCTTCAGCCAGGAAACGACAGCTGCCAGTGACAAGATTCCGCAGACGGCAGCAGGTAGTAAATACAGCAGGTAGTGGGCTGGTGCAATAGCCAGCCTGCTATTGGCCATTTCAAATTGCAATAGCCAATAGCAGGCTGGATATTGCACCCGCCCACTGCTTGCTGTGCCCTCCTCCCAGCGTGGAGGAGAGAGCTAGGGGATCCAACCAACTAATCGATAATGAGAATAACTAACAACTATTCTCATTATCGATTATTATCCATAGTTGGTTGCAGCCCTAGCAGGGACTGCTATGAATGTGCACTATGGAAAGTGCTGTGTAAATTGTTGGTGCTATATAAATACCTGTAATAAGTAACCAATAAAAGCAAGGAAGAATAAGAAACCTTTCTGAATTTGTTCTATTATTGTTGACAAATGCTCTGTGCTCATGCTTACTGAATGGACTGGCTGGCTCTGAAATGTTAAAGTTTCCCAACCATGCTGTTTTTTTCCCCACAGAACTAGAAAGCATTTTTTTTCCCACGTCTGTCAATGGCTTATGTGAACAGTCACTAGCTAGCAGTAACAGTAACCTGATGCTACACTGTGCAGGCAGAAGATAAACAGAAGACAGTGATAGTGAATCCTCATTGTAGTGAAAGTTCTCTCTGCTCAGTATAATCACTGCAATATGATCAGGAAGTAGGCTAGTGCCGAGCCTACAATCATCTTTATCACAACAGGTTGCCAGTATATTTCTTCAGACGGTTTAATACTTTCACAGATATGGCTGCATTAGACTTTTAACGCGCCACAGAGGTTCAGACAATCAGTGCCTCACAGATTCTAACTGCTGATCACCCAGCTCATAGCTTCTCCCTGCAGAGAGAGGTGATGGTTAGTCACCGCTCCCTGCAGGGATTCTCCCCTGCCCTCTCTGTTTCTCCAGTGCTCATTGGAGGGAAGACAGGGGATGGGGTGGGCACAGCTGTCTCTGGTTCTAGAGAGCCTTAGATGGCTGTCAATCAGGCAAATGGTGGATTCCAATATTAATGTTGGAAACCTTCCGAGCAGCACCACGGCTCTGAGCTGTCAGCATATAGAGGTCAGTAGACCGTTATGTGCTGACATTGGGTAACAGGGGTACATTAGTAAATGCACTCCTGTGACCCAAAAGAAAAGTAAAGTAAAGCCAAAAAAAAAAAAAAAAAAAAAAAAGAAGAAGAGGTTTGGCTTCACTTCTCTTAAATGGAATCTATTTTTTTAAAGTTTCTTTTTGTTGATTTTGCTAAAAATATGAATTGACAATATACAAAATTAAAAAGTCAGTCATCTAAAAAAAATCTACCCTGTTGACAGGTCTGCCCCATCCTGCCCACTGAGCACCCCCAGCATAACACTAGAAGAGGAGAAAACTGTGCCAGTTTGTGAACAAGGGTGAGAGCTTGTTCCGGTTCCGGTCATGCAGCAGGCATGCTCAACAGGCAACATTTCCTATGCCAGTACAAGGCAAACCTGTCAGGAGTGTGGATTTTTGGACAGGCTTTAGGGAAGCAGAACCTGGTCTACAGGTATGTCATGTAAACCAAGCTCAAACTTTAAGCTGGACAATGTTTTTTACACTACTGGGGCCCCTTGACTTCAAAGTAATTTTCTTTTTAAATAGTGGACTTAACCTTTAACCCTTTTGCTGCCAGAGTTATTTTTGCATACATGTTATTCACATTTTAGGCCTTAAAAGCTTTTAAAAAATCGTAACCCTCCCCCCACCCAGAATTATATATTTCCTGAAAACAGAGACCCTGTAGAATAAAATGGTGACAGTTGCAAATTTTTATGTCATATGATATTAGCGCAATTCTTTATCAAACCGAAAATACATCTTAGTTAAACACAATATAATACATTTTTTTTTTAAATATAAAAAGGATAGGTTTTGCCAAGTAAATAGATACCCAATAAGCTTAGCTTAAAAACTGTGTGTGAAACGGCAAAAAAATACGGTACCTCCAAATTGTCCTTTGGGGTGCAGGTCATCAGTTTAGGGTTAACAGAGAACATTGGCCCTAAAATTATTGCTCTCACTCTGGCACACGCGGCAATACCTAGCATGTGCAGTGCAATTGTAGTTTTCGTACATAGGCTGACACTGCGCGTGGATATTTTTTTTTTTTTTTTTTTTTACTTAACTTCATTGCTATTACAAGCCCCCTATGTGATGCACCCCCCTATGCACATTAGAGGGGACAGATTATCTGTAAGGTGACATTAGGGGTCTATTATTATCAGAAACCCCCATCACCTTGGCAGGCCATTGAAGCTGATCAAAAACAGACCGCGCTTGATCAGCTTCTTGAAAGCTCAGAAGCCAGCTCAGAAGTGATGCAATCAGCATTGCTTGTGGCTTCATTCAGTGGGGAGGAGTTCAGCTAATCTGTTTCCCGCTGACACCCACAATGCCGGGCCCGCTGGAGGGGCAGCAGAGCGCGGTAAGCAAGGCAGGGGTGTCAGACGGTGGGGGGAAGGGGTGCTATTTTATGATCCCTGGAAGCCGACAGTTGGCTTAACACAGTTAAACAGAGTCTGTTTACTGGGGCCTGCTGCCAGCATCGTATGCCTTATGCTTCTGGCAGCAAAATGGTTAAAGGATATACAGTGAAAGGATTAAAAGGATGCTCAATACACATTTCACTATAAACTGTAAATTTCACTGTAAACATTCCCTGGAACTCCTAAAGCGTGTTGTAGACACTCATTAGAAAACTCCCTTCCGTACAGGAAATGGCACGATCTCCCTCCGATCCCCTCTCCGGTGTCAGAATGCGGAAGTGATGTATATTACATTACTTCCGCATTCTTGTGTCACTCTCCGGCTTCAGAAGCTGGAGAGAAGCTGATGAAGCAGATTTCTGCTTCTTTGGGGGGTCCTGGGTGACATTAGGGGTCTTGGAGACCCCTGATGTCTCCATAAAGAGGACCTGCCACATCTCATTGCTATCTCATAGAGGATTTCTTAGCCCCCTATGTGATAACAATAATGTTAGGTGAAAAAAATTAAAGTTGCATTAAAAAAATTATGTGAGTCACATATGAAAAAAAAGTAAAAAATAAAAATATAAAAACACAAAAAAATGTTTAAAGTCCCCACCCATACATACATGCGTGCACACAACACAACTTATCCATGAAAGAACCGTCCGTTTCAATAAATAAACAATTTTCAATTAGTTGGTTGAAAGGTATATAAACAAAATGTACGTACTACTGACAGCTGACTCCATGTTGACCTTAGAGGTTTATACTGTACAATGATTCGATCTTCCTTTGGCTCTTTGGATTCAGCATCCTCATCAGAGTCATTATCCAGCGCTTTCTCTTTGTAGTTCTGGTATAAGACAGCATTTTCTGAAAGCAAAGAATATTTAATATTATTTTATTTTTAGCCAATCACTGAAACAAAAAGGAAGTTGGAAGTAAAAAAAAAAACTCATCCATCATCTCCATGTGTTTTTCATGTTAAGCATTTCAGTATAGTATACACATCACGGAAACTATAGGCCCAACATCAAGACAAAAATAGGAAAGCAAGCATGTGTTTGTATACACTGAAACATTGTAATATAAATGAATAATTCTATGGCATGCCGGGGGCAGATGAAACATGGGAGGGAGGAGTCTTGGTTAAAAATAGATACTCTTCTTCCTTTCAATACTGAAAGCATGCAACAGAATGCTGTAGGACTATCGTTACTGCCCAAGTAGACTTGGGATGCTACTTTGACAACTGATATTCAACAGGAAAAAACAGACACCGTAAACTTTGTACGCAAGAGCAACGGAGCCATCCAAAGATCATTTATTTTCCTAGCAAAGCCTGTTCACTTATCTCCAGTTGTTCAAGTACCTCAAAATTATAACACAGAACCAGTAATGTTTCCAAAAAAAAATAGAACTCCTAGGATAAAAGCCAATATGTGAAACCAGGGGAGAGCGAAAAGTCAAAGTTGACCCCCGCCTGTCACTTCACAAGGGAAGATACACTTTAAGTCTCCTTTCACACCTAGGCATCAGCGTTTCTGCATGTCTTGCATGCATTTTTATGCACGTCTTTCCCTCGCACGTTTTGCAAATTTTTCCAGCGCATATACAAAGACGCGCGTTTTATTGAGCAGATTGAAATACATTGCTGTGAATGAGCAAAAGTGTGCACAAAACGTGCACAGAAATGTGCAAACCGCTAGTGTCACGTGTTTTCATGCGCTTCCATTGAAGTCTATGCAGCCAAATCTGCTGTTCTGCCCGAAAGAAGCTCATATACCTTTTCCAGTGTTCTGCGTTTTACAGCTTGCGACAAAACTCTCAGGTGTGAACAGGGGCCATAGAAATGAATTGAATTTCTAGTGTTGAAAGTTTTGTCACGCTTAGCTTTGAGCGTCAAAACACCCAGGTGTGAACAGGGACGTAGGCAATTGGTGTCTGATAGGGCAGACCATGCCATTACAGACAATTCAAACCAGATGGCTTTTTCTGTGCCCACTGAAATTCTTACTAAATGTCCATGAAAGGGATTTACACTTATTACACACATACTTGGGATATTATAGTAGAGTACCTAAAAGTGTATGGTGTGATTGTGCTGGAAGTTGTCCCTCTTTCTCGTCTCAGAAAGTTGGGAGGTATATATTCTAGATGTATAGCTGAAAGACGATACATTTGATAGCTGATCTAAAAGCATACATTCTTCGGCACTGCAGCAACACAATGGGGGGAATTTATCAAAGCAATTGCGACAGTCCATAGCCTAGCCATCATTTTTTTTTAAATGTGCAAATCTGTTTAGCCGCTCCTTTTATCATGTGCGTCTGTTTTGACCAGAGCTTGAGCTATTTCCCGATTGCACGTGATTTGTGAAAGTTTGCAACTGTTTTTCATCTGCACTTGTTCTGCGGCTGTCTGAAACTGGAGCATCACCTAACAAAACAATCGCAACTTAAGAAGTCTTCATGACCACTTCTTCAAGAAGCCACAGTTAAGCTTTTTACCTGGAGTTTTGAGTCTTATTTCCTGGAGTCTATTTAACCTCATTTATGAACCATATTACACTAGCAACATAAATCTGGCGCAAATACACTCCATGCGACCTAATGTGAGTTCAATCACTCCCCATTGCTATGATAAATTCCCCCAATTGTTTTGAGCATCCTTCTAGGAGCCCTGATCAGAATCCTATCGTATAGATCTATGGGATCAGGTCGGCTTAGAACTATGACGTGAGTGGAAATCACTCATGTCATAGTTCTCCTTTAAGCATGCAGTCTGGAAAAGACACCTTTCAAGTCTGAGACTTGCGAGCAGTTTGCTTAAGAAGAGCAGGCCAAACTACCCGTTGGCAGGTGCAGAAATCTCATATGTCCATGCCATTCTTAATTTGTTTTACTGTTGAAATCAACAATTAAAAGCAAATTCAGATTTTTATTAAATATAGAGTGAGGAATTTATCAAAACTGGAGACACGATCTGGAGAAGTTGCCCATGGCAACCCATCAGCTTCTCTCTTCAGTTTGTTCAGTTAAGATCTGAAAATGAAAAGATAGAAGCTGATTGGTTGACACGCATAGCTGCTCCAGTTTTGATACATTCCCCTCATTATAAACAATGATGGATGTCAACTGCTTTTCTTCCTTTTTTGTGGAAAAGTACCAACAACTTTGTCCATGACTGTAGCATTTCCAAGTGGTAAACGTATATCTGGAAGACATCCTGATAGCTGTGATAGCTGATCCCAAAGCAAACCTACTGTGCTAAATTCTTGGATTCTTACAGACAGTAGCAGCACATTGTTTTGGGCAGTGGTGTCACATAGTTGAAACTATGGGCAATCTTCCAATATAGAGACACCATGCAGCCATAGCAGTGTTTGTATACCAGCCATTCATGTCCTAGCAACCAGCTCTGTGCTCTGTGCAATGCTCCATAATTGGTGCTTCACAATGATATAGGTTGGGAAATGCTGGTCTTCTCCACATAGGAGGTACATCTTCATGTGTAGAACCCATGCTGCTCCTAAAGTGTAACTCCGGTGATAAGTGTGGTGGAAATACAGTTTTTATAAATACAACCGTTTTCCCATATTAATCCTTTCTAGTCTCCCTTATAGATTTCCCATTTTGTTGGAAGGTTTTTATATGTTGGCTGCTAGTCTCCGTTTCTTCTGCAAATGATCAACGTTAATAAATTGCAGGAGGACGATTAAGAGCTTGTTCACACCATGTCCATTGAACTGCATTTTTCTGCACGCCACCGCACATGCATGGTGTAAACAGTACGTGGTGTGCAGAAAAAAAATGCAGCTTAAGGAGGAGAACTATGAGGCGAGTGCTTTTCACTCACCTCATAGTTCTAACCGACCTGTGACAATGAGACTGTCACAGGTCAGCTTAGTAGATCTTATTTTTTTTAAATTTCGGTAATTTTTCCTTTATAGTAAAAAAATAAAACCCCCAGTGGTGAATAAATACCACCAAAAGAAAGCTCTATCTGTCCCCAAAAAAGGGTATAAAATTCATTTCAGTACAGCGCTGCATGACGGAATAAATGTCAGTTAAAGTACCGCAGCGCTGAATACTGAAAAATGGCCTGGATGGGAAGGGGGTTTAACACCGCGGATGTCAACTGGTTAAGGGACATGGCGCGAACAAGCCCTAAGGCCTGGTTCACACCTAGGAGTTTTTGAGCAGTTTGAAAAGCGTTTTCTCTATAGGTTGAACTCGATGGACATGTGTCTTTTTTCAACCTAACTATGTAACTATGTAAATGCCCAACACAAGAAATCCCATGATTTTCAATGGCCCTGGTTCACACCTGAGCAGAAAAACACCAAATGCTCGAAAAGGTACAGGAACTTCTTTGGGCGCTTTTTTTGCTCCATAGACTTCATTGGAAATGCCCAAAAACGTGCAACAGAAGCATGTTGTACATTTTCAGGAGCAGTTTTGCGTGTTTATACACGCCTTCTTCCATTGCCCACAATGTTTTATGAGCTGCCAATCAAAACGCGTGTTTTCATGTACGTACATTAAAACGCAGATACAAATGTGCAAAATGCGCCTAAACTTGCAAATAACCGCAAAATGTTCAAAAACGGTGACCCAGGCCTTAAGCAGATGCACTAAATGGAATATGTAGGCTGCCATTGCTGACCTCCTTGTGAAAATGCTAGTTGCCTGGCTGTCTTTGGCTAGGGTACTTGAATGCATTTTCAAGGTTTACGCCTGAGTTTAGTGTCACTTTAACTCTGCTATAAGTAAAGCTTCTGCTCCTTGCTGATTGAAAAGTTCTAGTTTTGATTCAGCAGAAGATGTGTGGGACTGCTGTGGAGAGACCACTGCTTCCAAACAGTGCAACTGTCCCCGTCTGCCGCATGCTGACAGGGGACAAGCTTTTCTACTCAGGCTGTGAATCTTTTCTAAAGAACTTGAATGCATGTTTAAGAAATAACTCCTACGTTTAGTGTCACTTTAACGAGCAAGGTAACTCAGGACATTGTTTGGATTATGTAAGATGACTCCGTGTCTGCCAAGTGATTTCACAAGCATACAGAATCACAATCTAGCAATACAGTCACTGAAATGAAACAGGAGGGTGAGCAGTGCCCGGAGATCTGATGGTAAACCATGCTCTGCAGACTGCAGGAAAACACCACTAAAGAAGGGAAGGAATGCTTCCCGGGGTTTCCAGTGTACAGCTGCCCCGGTGCATTATTTCACGCTGGTATGTAAATAACACTGGAATTGTAAACGTTATTTTTTCCTCTCTTTGAAATATAGTCACGGAAAATAGAAAAAAGGTTGTAACGCCTTCCATCCTCAGTTTAGAAAAGCACAAGTCGCACAACATAAAACAAACCTTCACAAAAACAGCTTTCTAAAACATGCATATGTGAAAAAAGTACAATAAATGAACGGCAAGGTTGTAAATACTACTACGGCCTTTTCTTTCCCAAGGCTGATTTACTAAAGGAGTTGAGAATCTTCACTCAAACATTTGTGTGAATATTCACTTCAATTATCCAATCATGTGGGTAGAAACTTCCTGTTGACTTTGATACCTCAATCCTGTGCAGATGCTTTTCACATGATTGGATAATTGAAGTGAATAGTCACACAAGTTTCTCAACTCCTTAGTAAAACATCCCAATCATGTCTGCCCATGAACTATGTATATGCTCTGCGATTTCCTGCTAATATTGTAGAAGGAGGTTGGACCCTTGGAAAACTACATATAACCTTCCTGGCACAAACCAGGTAGGATATATGGCCAGAGAATGCGGTCAGATTAAAAACAAAGCATATGCCCTTGCAGGACCTCTCCAGAGTCTCCCCATCCTCTGGAACTCTCTACCCCAATCTGTCCAGCAATCTTCTACTGTCTGCCTTTAGGCGATCCCTAAAAATGCATCTCTACAAGGAAATTATCCTGTTACCTAAAAACTGAAATTTACTTCATTATTAACTTTCTGCATCAGCTCATTACTGATTCTAGATCGTTAGTGCACATGAACAGGGTCCTTCTGAGCCTCCTGTAGTGAATAGTTATTGTGTTGTCTCACTTTATTTTGTAAATCACTGCAAAAACTGTTGAAGATATGTGGCTTGGCCATAAAAAAGTCACACACTCTAACATTTCGTTGGACTGCTTTTAGCTTTGATTATGTCACACATTCGCCAAGACATCACTTCAATAAGCTTATGCAATGTTACAACATTTATTTCCATCCAGAGGTGCAAACATTTTTCACCAAGATCTTGTAGTGATGATGGGAGATTCAGACCACCTCATAAAGTCTTTTCCAGCACATCCCAAACATTCTCAATGGGGTTAAGGTCTGGTGTTGGGCAATCCATATGTGAAAATGATGTCTCATGCTCCCTGAACCACTCTTTCACAATTTGAGCCCAGTGAATCCTAACATTGTCATCTTGGAATATGCCTGTGCCAACAGGGAAGAAACAATCCATTGATGAAAAACCTGGGCACTCTGTATATTCAGGTAGGCAGCTCACTAAGGAGAACGTACCTAAATACAGCGCTCGTCCAAGGGGTGGGAGTGGTGGGGGGGCTAGGTTTGTTAGGTTTTGAATTGGTACTAAGTATACTTGTTTGGTTGAGCGGCTTCAGAAAACATACGGACCGGGGTGTCCGACCGATGGGTGCTAGAATCAGAGAAAGGAGGGGAGAAGCGCTCCAAACCAAGCTGAAGACCGGGGCGTATTTTTATTATATATTTGTGTTTTCTGGGATCAACCATCGAACACACAACTCGGATTCGGGAATTAAAACCGTCCCCTGCTTCCAGCCTTCGGTCCCCCCAAAAAACGCCCCGATCTTCAGCTTGGTTTGGAGCGCTTCTCCCCTCCTTTCTCTGATTGCTGAAACCAGACCTATTATCCAATTGAAGGCTCTGACATATTTGCTTTATATTTTATATATACACACACACACACACACACACACACACACACACACACACACACACACACACGGCTAACCTAATTGTTAGCTCCTCTTCCCTTGACCACAGCTCCCCACATCATCACATATGCTTACAGGACTAGTGAACCTGTATTGTACCTAAAGAAACCAAGGGCCCCCCCCTACATCCTGGGGGCATTGGAGGGCAGAAAAGAGCTCTTGCTGCTGGCGGAGCGATGAATACGGTAAGCTTTTCATTTATTTCAATCCCCCTAATCTCAATTTCCATTATATGTAGGTGGCTTTGGAGGTTTTTTTGCCATGTTTAACCCCATCTGTACTGTGCTGGCAGATCTCATTTTCAGTTGTAAACCAGATGTGAACACCATCTATCCTAACCAATGGTTAAAAGATCTCAAGACTTTATATGTTAGTGCACTTGTCCCTGTCTGCACATTGCCATCTGTTCAAGGCAATAGAAGCTGCCTATAGTGTCATGCTTCAAAGAAACAACTATAACGTAAGAAATATTTTGTTTTATTATTTTTGGGTATGTTGTGTGAATAGGAACCCATAACAAACATATAGTGAGTGGTTGTCAAATTTGACTGCAAAAGTGAAAATACACTTTAAATCTAGCATTACTATTCTATGAGACGCAAGTGTTTCTGCACTGACTGACAAATATAGAGTTACACAGTAATAAAAAGGATTACAATGTTGCACTGCCTTTCTTTATCTTTACAGCCCTGTGATAAGGAAACACACACAAGGCACTGGAGCTGCCCACTCTTAAAAGGATTATTCAGCTTGGTTACAGTATGACTGGATCTGAGATACACTGTCCAAACATACACAGCTTCCAAGGATACATATCTAGTTATGCAGGCAAGTTCAACAAGGTAGTAGCCCTTCTACATTTTGATATGTCAGAAGTTAAACGAGTTGTAAAGTCCCAGCATGCACTAGCCTGTTACAGCATCAGCATTGTATTAGGGATACATACTAAAGTTGTTTTGGATATTTCAATCAAAGCTTACTTACAAAAAAAATCACTTTTTTTACAGCGAGTGCTGCCTTTTGTCTGCTCATCACTTTTAACAACTTCCTGGGTTCCCATCTCTTTCCCTGCTGCTTGATGTGATGGAATCTCAATTTGCCAAGATTACATACCCCATCATGCATTGCTTCCAGCAAGCAATGACAATGTTCAGACACTAAGTTGTAGTTCAGAAGGCAGGCTCTGTTATTTGTGACACAAGAAGTGCAAATTCACAGGGGTGAGTGAAATTGTGTCACTGCATTGAGGAAGAACATTCTATGGGCATCTTCAATAAGTAAGTATACAAATGTCTAGACCAATATGGTTATTAAGAGTGGGATAGAACCTATGGAAATTCATGCATGCTGTATTTATTTTTAGGTTTTAACCAGTGCCTTGTATACATGTTACTGTGAGCTTTATTTAAGAGTTTATATATTTATTATGCAGGGTGAGAGTCACAATAGGCATGTTTCCATATCACGGATGCATTAAAAGTACACAAACCTGCACGATAAATGCATTCTAGTGTATTAATAATTTATTTTATTAAGCCTGTTTAACACATAACAAACACACAAAAAATTAAGCATTTAAAACAAAACAAAAAATAGACTGAGCTTTCACACACTAACCTCCATGGAGAAAAATGTATGTGTTTTGCTGCAGGAAAGCAGCCAAGTGTGAAAGTTCTTCATAAGACTAATTCTAACAAACTGTGCGTTAAAGACAACATAATGTTAAAGAACATTGTTCCTCCCAGTATTCCAGTCTTTCAAGCCCAGAGAGAATGACTTGGACAACTTTATTGCTTCTGTTGTGAACGTTGAGAATTCACTACTCCACAGTGCCTGCAGCTACAGAAGTCTCTGATGGCTTGTTCTAAAGCTTATTCACAGCCTTGCTTGCTATGAATTTGTAAATACATGAATGTCCATTGCCTGGCCACAGGCTCAGTTTAAGGGTCTGATGCACAAGCAAGGTCCAATAATCCTTATGCAGAACACACAGAAGGAACATGGCACAAACTTACAAACTTGACTTAGCTGAACTTGCAGTCTAACTCTATGAAGAGAGAGGAGAAGGAAGCTCTGATTGACCCATCAGTTGCCTGCATTGGTCGAATTTCTTGCACCAGCAAGCCACACACACCAAGGACATAGAATATTGAAAAGTAGAAGTATTAGAAATATTAGTTTAAAGTGGACTTGTAATACATCCCTTTCCCAGAAAAAAAATGTTGCTTCTCACTCTTTATAGTGCTGTCACCTATCTGAAGTCCTTTATACTTGTTAATCTAATCCCTGCTGAAGTGGAAGTTCAGCCAATCTGATCTCCGAAACCTATAAAAAGGGACCACCAGACCAAGTACCTAAACCTTTAAATATGTGACCTGTGCAAGAAGTACCTTGGAGCAACATGTTCCTCATGACTTCTGTTACTCGTTATTTATCTATCTTAGCTGGAATATTAGCATAGCTTTAAGTTCCTATTAAAGTATAGGTCTACTTAAACATTCATTTTTCACATACCTTCACAATCGAATGTTCCTTGTCCTCTAAGGATTTTCCGCTTTTGAAAAGGATAAAAAAAATATAAATAATAGAAGTTACTTTGACATCACTAGAACAATCACATCAATAGCATGTTTTCAAATCTTAAAGTAAGGTTTAAATAAGGAGTTTTAATAGGTTGGACTTGATGGACTAATGTCTTTATTCAACCTCAAATATTATGTAATTATGTAATTACTATATATGTTATGCAACATTTTACTTTAACAGTTTCAAGGATTAGAAAGCAAACAACAGTACCCACTAGGGTCAGGAATCATTGGGGTAGGGCTAGATACCGTGTTTCCCCGAAAATAAGACAGTGTCTTATTTTTTTTTTTGCACGAAATAAGACACTAGGTCTTATTTTCGGGGGATGTCTTACCTGGCTGCAGCTGTGCTCTGCCGTCCAGGGAGCCACAAACAGGTGGGCGGGCATGCGTGCGGCCGGGGGGG